TCTTCCTCTCTCTGTTGTTCTTCCTTTCTTGCTTAGATAGGGTCTCATTGCACCCTGTCTAGCTTCAACCTCATGGCAATTCTACTGCCGCATCCTCCCAAATGTTGGGTTAGAGATTTGCTCCAGCATGCTCAGCACAATATCTTTGCATTTCAATAATGAGGTATATCATAGATTATAACTTAATGAATTCTTTTATGAAATTTATATTATCCTACGTTTTACAGTTTTTATTATCACTAGTCTTTTTTGACTCATGGTATATACATTGCTAGTATAATTATAGCTAAAGAAACATAAGAATATAAATGTAACTATATAATTGCATTACATACTCTATTATATGAACCTAGATATATGTTCACATACAATACATAGTTATATAAATATGTACATATATGACCATGTAGGTACTTAGTCTTTTATGTAACCAAGACTGTTTTTAAGTTCATGATCCTCTTGACTCAGATTCAGTATTGCACACAGAAAGCTGAGCCTTTCTAGATCAATTAATTTAAATAAGGCAGTCTTCAACAACCAGGCCCACAGAAGAATACAGCAAGGAAAATTAAGATTCTGTTCCCAAGTAATTGCAAAATATGTCTAGTTGACACCTAAATCTAAGTATCATGGGGCATAATATTTTCAATTTTTAATTTTAATGATGGTCTAGTTAATTGAGTAAATGAAGGAATTATTCGGCAAAAAAGAAAGAAAAATTGAAAAAGTAGATACTGTCACTTATGTTTTTTCAGTGAGTGGGACACTTTATATAGAATATAGAATGGGTGGGCAAATTAAAAGTAGATGTAAAGGGAATTACTTAATAAGAAAAATTGATTTTGCATTATTTCTATTAAAGTCTGTTACTCAGTTCAAAATCAGATGATATAACTCGAATGTTTTTCTAGTTTCAAATCTGTCACTTTTATGTGTTTGTGGTGGATAAGTACTTAAAGTATAATGAACATTGAAAATACGAAACTCACTGCCTCAGAATGACCATTATAATATATGTGTGTGTATATATATATATATATATAT